TATTTGGCTTTATTGAGACTTGGGAAATAAAAGGTGCCATACAGGAGCAAGTTGACATATACCAAGGTATAGACCTACACACACACACACACACACACACACACACACAATCTTTGAAAAACTATTTAAGAAAGTGTTTGATTTTTTTTAGACCTATGTACTGTTTAGAACACCATTTCTCAACTGGAGTTCTGAAAGTTTGTGATTAAAAAAAAGTAAACTTTTTTTTTTTTTAACTTTGCCCACTACATAATGCTAACCCTCACAGTCGTGGAAATTTTTACATGCTGCAACTCAGCTGCCGGCCTGCAGCTTTGCCTATTGCTTGTAAAACGTGGATTATACAGGTTCAAAGTGAATTGTATTGTGAAGTTTTGTATGTTGGGCTATTTTTATGCAGGGGCTCCCCGAGGTCTGAAAATGACTTCAAGGATTCCTCCAGGGTAAAAAGGTGGAGAAAAGCTGGTTTAGAAGGCACAGTAGGTGGCAGTAGATGCCTGCCCAACAGGGCTGATCTCAAAAACGTAAAGCTTGGTCAAGCAACTACTGTAGCTTCATCTGAGCGTGACTTATTCTGTGGACTCCTTGCAGCTTCTAGGCATGAGGGATTTGTACCAGTCCAGTGCCTTCGCTGGTATGCCACCCTGGCTCTGGGGCCCACAGGGTGGGACTGGCCCAAAGTCCTTCCAAGGCAAATGGGGAGCCAGAACCTGGATCTCCCTCCTCCTAGTCCAGACCCTTTCCTGCTACAGATAGTCCTCATTTAGCAACCGCCTCATTTAGCAACCATTTGTAGTTACTACGGTGATGAAAAAGTAACTTTCCTCACATGTATGACTTTTGCAGGTCTATAAAGCTTCCCCATTATTCCACGCTGGCTCTGGTGCTGAGGAGGGGTGGCATTGGCCCAAAACCCCCATATGGCTGGTGTATATGTGTGTTGTCTGAGCTTCTGTGTGTGTGAGTGGGTGTGTGCACATACACACACATGCATGTGTACACCAGAAACTTTGTCTCCCCACTCCTAATCCAGCCCTACTCCTCCCTGGCCCCCTAGATATGCTCTAGAGCAGAGTTTCTCAACCTTGTCAACTTCAAGGTGTCGGGACTCCAACTCCCAGAATTCCCCAGCCAGCCATGCCTCTCTTTCGCATCCTTAAAAAGGACGCCCTTTTGCAGGCATTAACTGAACCCGCTCCTGCCCTGCCCCTTCTAACCTTTCTAACCTTCTCCACGCCCCCGGCGTTTCCTAGAGAGGACAGGAAGTGGTGGCGGGAGGGCGGGATGTAAACAGTATCAGTCACTTCCGGCCCCGCCTCCCGTGGGAAAGTGGCCTTTGAATTTCCCAGCTCGTGGGAGGGAGATCGGGTGAGTGCGAAAGGGCGTCGGGGCGGGGGTTGCCAACTTTTCTCGCCGGGCGTGGCTCCTGTGCTCGGTCGGCGGTGCCCTGGGGATCCCGCTGAGGAAGTTTGCCTTCCAGGGGAGGAAGGCAAAGCTGCTCACGGAAATAACAGGAGAACTGCCGCCGCTGCTCCCATATTGCAAACGCGCCTCTCTAAGGTTAAGCGGGGGAGGGAGAAGCGGGTTGCAACCTTCACTGAAATGCAACGATGAGGCA